CCTGGGAGTGTCTATAGATGGGCAGATGGAAGTCTATCCATATAGTCGAGCTGAGGGCCTAGGCAGTCCGTTCACAAAAACCAGCTTATGTTCCAGCGATTCTACCTATATAGTAGGGAGGAGAATCCTTTTATAAAAGGTGGACAGGGGGAAGTCAAATATTCTAAAAAAACGACCTCTTGAAGGTCAATTAGTATTGACTCTGATATTCGTGTCCATATTTGGGCGGGCTGAAGAGAGTTCTGAGTGAAGTATAATAACTGGTGATCCACCCTGGAAGTGCTGAGTGTAAGTCGAGATATGTCGAAATTAGTTAAAGTGGTATGACTTCAAAATCTGTCCATAGCCGCAAGTGTCGATAAATCTAATGAGTTTACTTGAGGCAGGCAAATACGGTCCTTCCCAGACCTCTCCGAAATACATTTGTTCAGCTGTTGCTTGTTGGGTCCCACAATTTATTCTGAGTACGGTGCTGACTTGAGATATGATTTTTGTGTCTATATTGTTTTGATTTAAGGTCGTGTAGAATTTTCAGAACCCTTTCAGGACCAAAGCTTACATGGAATGCTAACCGTACATTTTACACTTCATTTGTAAAAAAAATCCCAGACAGAGAAAACCAAATTCCAGTATCTGCCATAAATTATATATTTTAATGGATCTCTCAATATGACCCTCTCTTCATATTATCCTACCTTTAAAATAGATAGCATGACCCAACATGTAATTTATTATCGTTGCCTTTTGGTAATTGACTTGTCCTATGGCCCAGAGCAATGAGTTTCTTGACCTTTTTGTTGTTGTTGTTGTTGTTGGCATTGTTCTTGCTTTTGTTTTGGTCACATGTATTGTTGTCATGACACACAATCAGATATTTCACACACGTTTAACTCTCATTACAAAGAGATTATGGGCCATTATTATGGCTTATCCATGGTTTGTTGACACATTCCATGTGACGGCTGTATTATTCTTCTTTTCTCTGGTTTTTCTCAACGGTCGGTACACCTTCAATTGCTTTAATGCCGCTTATAATGGATTAAGAGTCATTATCATTGACCCTGAAGTGGTTTTTGTAAAGATATTATTTTTTTGCTTCCTTTCATAGCTGAGATGACATTGAGGAAGGAATGAGGTGGAAAAAGTCAATGAAGCTATTGCCAGGGAAATATTTTTACAAGGGATACAAAGTTCAGGTTGTGGATTTTTTGGCAGGCTAAGGGAAAATTAACTTAAAGGCTGGAAAGTGAATAAAAATATCAGAGATTTTTAAAATAATTTCATTCACATCTTTAAATAACCAATCCTTGAATGCTACGGCAATCAACTCCATTTAAGCCCATTGCAAAGTTTAAATTAACCGTTATTGCCATCATTTCCCTTTCCTTTGGCCCAACCAAACACTCCATTTCCCCGGCAAAGCAAAAACTGTGTCAACTGTTTGTTGTTGCGGCCACAAATACAGGAAATAATTTTCGTTTATTATTATCGGTTTCCTGAAACAAATTTTGCGGTTTTTCGCTTTCCTCCGAACTTCACACGAACAAAAAAGTACGAAAAATAGGAAAATTTAGTTTCCATTATGTCACACACCAACCAACCGACACCACCCACCCAAGCGACGACCGACCCACATTACCACAGCAACCTCGATGTTGGGATCAGGCAAATTAATGGCCAAATATTCCACGGATTACTGTTTAGAAGTCGACACCAATAACGTTAGCTCTATGAACTGCTGGTATTAGTTAGCCACAAAAGCCCACCACAACAAGTAAAAGTTTATGACAATCCCGTTCTGAGTGGAAGGTTGCTAGTTCAGATCACCCATTCCCCAGACAATTTACCATGTTAGGGCATTTAACAAATTAAACTTTACAAATTTGTTAACAATTTTTTGGTTATTTTATGCGGCTTGGGGGTGAGGGGGTGGAAAGACATGCATGATTGTTGTAAAATGGTTGATGTCCTCCCTCAAGGCTTAGTTATGAAGGTAATTTTTTAAGCAGTGTGGCTGTAACTGCTTTTCATATTTGTATAACGTCGTCCTTGAGGGTAAATAAACCAAAAATAATATCCTCCAATTCCAAAATAATACCCAATCAATTCTACAATTTTGGTTATTATAACTCTAAATTTCTCAGTAGAATAGAATAATAGTAGAATTTCAAGGAATCGTTTTTCCAAAAGCTTTCAGAGATACAGTCGTGATCTATCAGAGCTTAAAAGTTGAATTTTTATAGAAAAGCTCCTTCGGCAACTGTGGGAGATGACCCCCTGATTTTAAATCAATATTTACCGAATTTTTGAGCGATAATTAAGATTACTTTTAGGAATAATCGTGCATTCTTACAGAACATTTTTCCAAAAGTTGTCAGAGGTGGGTTAATTTATACCCTATACCACATTGTTGTAAGGTTATTATGTCTTTCTGCATTTGTTTGTAACATGGAGAGATGAAGTTACTTTTGAGGATCTTCATAAAATCACTTTCTGAGTCGATTTATGCATGTCAATCTGTCTGTCCGTCCGTCTGACCATGCATTTTTGTGAACAAAATGCAGCTCGTATTTATTATTCGATTGAGATGACATTTTCCAAACAATATTTATTCGGTCCAAGGACGAACCCTAATGAAATTGATGAGGATAGGCTCATATTTAGATATAGCTCCCAAATATATATCTTCAACCGATTTCGATTTCACATCCGACCAAATTCTAGTCCAGATGCAAGTACATGAAATTTGGTAAAAATCGGTGCAGATATACCAATACAGGGTGAAATAAAAAACCACAACAAAGTCAAACGCCATCATTTTTACATTTTGTTTTTTAAATTTTATTAAATGAAAGCAAAAAATGTCGGAAATAGCATCAAATATTATAATAAGTTTAGATTTGTTCGAATTGGTCACCTTTGGCACAAATTATGACCCTCAAACGGCCAATGAAACCGTTACACGCTGCCCAAATGTTGCTCTACTGTATTTTGGCCCATTCCCGGCGAAGCGTTTGCTTGAGGTGATCGACACGAGCCATTTTTCGGTCACTGCGACGCGGGTTTCGATCAAGTCGCTTCTTTATTTTTCGAACCATTTCTGCTGATGTGGCTGTTTTCTTCCATCCACATCCTTTGCGTCGGGCTACCCTACTAGTATCACGGTAACGAGCGATGGTACGAGACACGAAAGATTTATTCACATTTAAATGTTGGAGTGCTCTAACGATAGCCACTTGTGGTTTTTCAGCCAAATATAAAGAAATCACACTATCACGCTTGAATTCCATGACAAATAACTTTTTTCTGGAAAATTCTCACCAAAATGCTTTTGAACGCTTGTAAACAATATAATGAGCTGTCACTGGATTAATTTTAACAGCTGTCGTACGAGTGGTTTAGAAATGACAGCAGTCTGAAGTTGGTTGCAGTTTTTTCATCTCACCCTGTATATCTTCAACCGATTTCGCGTTAATTGTGCACCAAATGGCCAATATCAGTCCAAATGACTTGAATTTCGGCACATCTGATCAAATTCAGTCTAGAAGCAAGTACATCAATTTTGGTAAAAATCGGTTCTGATATAGCTATAGGTCTCATATATATGTTTCATCCGATTTGGGGTCTTAGATCCCTCGAATGCGTAATATGGACTCCACAACAATGATCTTTGGTACACGATATCAGATATAGCTCAGAAATAAGAGCCTAAAATTTTGTTAAGATCGCTTCATATTTGAATATAGCTCCCGTATATATTTCTATCCGATTTCAGGTTTTTTGTGCACCAAATAATACCAGCCCAAGAGGACTGAAATTTGGCACTTCCGACGGAATTCAGCCCAGAAGAACATTCTTCATTTTTATTTTTGGTGAAAATCGGTTCAGATATAGCTATAGCTCCCATACATATGTTCATCCGATTTGGTGTTAAAGTCCCTCACATGCGTAATATGCACTCTACAACATGGATATTTGATACTGGACATCATATATAGCTCGAAAATACCTCTGCCAAATTTTATCGAAATAGGCTCAGATTTTTATATACCTTCGATTTTTATATACATCTTAATTCAATTTGTTATTGAATTTTTGGTGGTAAAATTTTTGCCCCCTTGTGAGGAAAGTACCAGAAGGAGTTGGCCATCTTCGCTCTAGATATTTTGTTTATATAGAAATATTGGAATGTATCAAGTTTGAAAGGAATCGTTTTATAAGCTTTCGAAACTTTTACTTGTTGTGGGGAAAGTACCAGAAGGAGTGGACCGATATTGCCCATCTTCGAACTAGATCTAAGTTTGATAATAATATTGCGGTGTACCAAGTTTGGACCAAATCTATTATTTATTTTTTCCTTTTTAGCAGGAATTTCCACAAACGCTGTTTTATTTTATATGTCACATTAAAAGTAACCTACATGCAAAATTTTCTACAAAAAAAAAATAGACTTTTCGTCTTAAAACCCTTTTTAGTACCTGTTCGTACGAATTTCTAAAATTTTCTTATTTAATTTAAAATTATAGCCCAATACAAAAGTGAGACTTAAAAGAATACCAGATTCGCAATCGAAATGTAGCCCAAAAACACAATTTTAGTACTTAGTGCGGATTTCCAAAATTCCGCCTTAAAACCTTCGTAGCCCTAGGCATTTTTCTGGTGCTGATGAGGACATTAGATACTTATCGTTTATTATTATTTTTGGCAGATAGGACTTCTATATATTGAAATTCCTTAATATAATATATTGAGGCTAAGGTAGCCCATTTTTAACACCAATAATCCTAGTCGTACTACAAACTCTTTTCTTAAATTTTGAAGATTTTGATTAAATTGAATTAAACTTACCATTCATCCTTTTATCTGTAAGATCTGGAAAAATTCGAACAAATTTGACTCACGCTTTACCCCACCAAGTTTCCCCTAACCCCCAATAAATACAAAATTCTTTAACATTTGGTTATTTTTTATTTCATATTTTTTCTTTGTTATTTCATATTTAATTATTATTTAATTGTAATTATTTTTATTTTCATATTTTTAGACAAAATTAGAAAAATTATTTTCTAAATGAAATTTGTTGTTTTTTGTTTTTGTTTTGTTTTGGAAAACTTGTTCATTATCTTAGAATTAATGCATATGTACCATGTTTCATTGTTATGTTTTAGCAATTATGTAGTTAGGCAACAAATTATACAAAAAAATTATGTAATTTAATTAATTAATTATACTAAATTTATGTTTTCATAATAATAATAGTAATAATACTTTGTCATATTACATTATTATTTCCATATCCTAAGCTGATTCTGCTTCGTCGGCTTCTCTTTTCTATGTCTTCCTCCTCCTCCTCGTCGTCGTCATCGTCGTTTTCATCTTCTACATCTGTTTCATTTAGTGTTTTTTTTACATTGATTTTAGAGGTCAACAATATTTATTTCATTTAAAGGCACTTTGGGATCAATACAAATCTAGTCTTATTTTGGAATTAGAAAACCGAAAAATATCGAATGCTGTTCAAAAATACAAAAGAAATTTTATTTTTTTTATTTTTTCGGCACTCGCTGCGGCGAGAATTGTGGCAAACCAATGGTGTGGATTTTTTATTTAACTTGTTTTTGTTGTTGTTTTAATGACATACCAAACCATACTCTACAGGACACGATGCTCAAATCCCCAGGGTGATAACAAAGAACATTATTGGGGGCTAAAGGGGGGGAATGAAAATAATGGCATTTTTGTGTATCCGCAACAAGTTGACTCCACTCACCTCTGTTCAGGACTTTACACTCGGTGTAACCATCCCAACAGCTTACAGCTGTGGCACCATTTACGGTTTTGATGGTCATCTTGTATTGATTTTGTTCAGAACCAATCCAAGATACAATTATCGTTTTGTTTGTTAATTGTCATTCCATTTGCAGCTTCTTCTTTAGATTGTTTTTGTTTGGCAAATACATTCGTTAAAAAGGAGCATTAGCTGAAAAGTGGATTTGTTTAAAGGTAAAACTAAATGAAAATTAAGCAATGTATTTAAGTTTTCCACTACTTACTCTAAAGCCTGAACCAGCGGCTAGACATTTCTGCGAACCCTGCTGCTACCCTCGTTACCGCAGCAATTTGAACGTCTCTTATTTGGGCTGTTAATGTCAGCTACAAATTTCTGAGTAAATGTTTCATTGTGTGAGACAATGTTGGAAAAATTGATGAATATGTCCTGGGGAATGACATTGGAAATGTCATCAAATTTGAAAAATACTGAAAACAAAATTCATAAAAAATGTTTGTATATTAGAAACTTTATGTAAGTACTTAATACTTAAAATTAATTTAGTACACGTATTACATATAAAATAAATAAATAAATATAGAATTAATGTTCAGTAAGAAAATTAAGAGAAATACACTTCTACTACAATAAAATTGCCTCAAAAATTAAAATTCTCTCCAATTATTTTTTCTTTCAGTTTTTTCTTTGTTTTAAATAAGATGTCTAAAATAAATGAACACATCACCAAAATAACCAACGATCCAATGGACTCGCTATTTTTATACCATCCATCATATATAGTATGAAGGGTATATTAAGATCGTTATTCCATTCTTAACTCGTCGATGTAATAATTTTAGACCTAACAAAGTATATAGTATTGATCAGCGTAAACTTCTAAAAGACGATTTATTCCGTCCGTTGTAATCGCGCTAGAGTCAAAACAAATTAATATAAGAAGCAAACATTTTCCACAGATCAGTCTTTTGTGTGCAGGCAGTTCAAGTTCGAAAATGGGCTATACCGGTCCAGGATTTCGTATAGCTCCCACATATGAGGTACCCCCCGATATTCGGTATTTTTATGATTTTAGGAACATTTTTTAAAGGAATTGTCTAAGAATTCACACCAGGGCTTGCTTCTGAGTACTTCACCCCTGGAAGAGAGTTGTCTTTATTGCTCCACGATATCGTATATCACCCATATAACGGTACCTCACAATAATCGGCATTTTCATGATTTTAACCACATTTTTCAATAAAATTGTCTGAAAAAACACACAAGGAGTTCCTTCTGAGTTCTTTACCACCTGAAAGAGAATTATCAATATAGGTTTACGATATCGTATATCTCCCATATAATGGTACCCCCGATATTCGGTATTTCGGCCTGGCTGGAAAATGTTCAATTTACACAATTGGTGTCAAAATGGGTTTTGGCTTTAAAAAAGTATTTGCCTGAAACAAGTAATGAGCTTTTCCTTATCAAGATCTTGCAAAGGCGGTAATTAAAAAACTGAGAACTACTAGTTGGGACCATTGCCCATTTTCTTCGGTAACTCTAAGTTTTGACCAAGAACATACACAGAAATGGAGTCAGCAGTTACGCTTCCTCTGCAGGTTATATCAACAGTTTCCGTAGATATCTTTGTCATTTTTGGCGATTTGGAATACATGAGTTCCTATAAGTTATTTATTTTTTCAATTTGACAGATATATTCCATTTTCATATAATATTAAGTACTTTTTGTATGTGGGAATGCCCGAGAATTACTTCTGTTTCAAAAATTACAGTGGGAGTCGAAATGCTCGAAATAGAGAAAAAGTTGACTCTAAGTGTGAAAAAATCTGAAATTGTTTGCTTATTTGTGTGCGTTTAAAAGTAAGGTGGTTTTAATGTTGTGTACAAATACCAAGAAGAGAAAAACAATAGGGAGGATGGTGTCGGAAATTTTTTTTTCTAGAATTATCGGCAATGCTCTTCAACAGGTTCGATTTTAATCTGTTTTTACATGAACTCAAAAAAAAAAACACTTTTTGCGATTTTGGAAAACAGATACACATGAATGAATTCAAGCATGGGGATGGCCATTAAATGACTTGGAAGTATCGCATCTAGTGGTTGAACATTTTCTTCTACTTTAATTTTTGGATGCTGAACATCGTGAACTGGCCTATTGTCGTTATCGAGTTGGATGCAATTCAACAATACATTGATTTCCCTGGAGTTAAATGTATGAGACTCTAACACAAACGAAGTTCAAGTTTTAAGAGGGAGAGACAAAATTGCATTGCAAAAACTAAAAGAATTCTCGGAAAGAGTAAATTTTGCCAAGAGAGCAAAGAGCAAAATGACATCCAAAAATATGATATTCTTTCAGGAGTCCTCCCTCTCGAATTCGACCGTTTTCATTCTCTACAGAAACGTGAGCGATCATTTCGTTTTTTTTTTTGCGAGGCAGTGGTCCAATATTTTCGATTTATGCTACCAAATGGGATGCGTCTTTTAATTTCTTTGAGATATTTGCCAATTTGAGCCTTTTGTGCAAGAGGTACCAGAAGGTATAGACAGTTGTATCTCATCTTCGCTATAGATTCGGTAGTAATATAAAAATCTGCAAACTTTAACGAAAGTTGAGGAATCACTTCGAGCTAAGATAATTTAAAATTTTTACTTTTTGGAGAATTAGCAGTGGAATTGAGCCGATATTATCGATTTTCGCATTAAATCTAAATTTTATACAACTATTAAGATATGTGAAGTTTCAATCAAATCTCATATCCCCTTTTTGTTTATATGAGATATATGATTATTGACCAATGTTGTTGGAACGAACCGATAAATTCTGTTTTCGTTTTTTATTATTTGCTAAGTTTAAGAAAATCGAAAAATAATTTTACCTTTTATAAAAGTTAAAATTATTCGAAATTTGAACGGGACATCACATTCAAATTTTTATTTTATTTTTATTTATTGAATATAAGTTTTTACTCTTTGCGGGTTTAGGGCACCAGAAAATTTGATATATGTGGGATTTTATTTTTTATTTAAAAAATTTGTACTTTCTATGTGAAGGAACCAAAAGGAGTGGACCGATATGACCATCCTTGAACTCGCTCTAAGCTTGACAAAAATATAACGATGTACAAAGCTTGGACCAAGCCTGATATTTACTTTGAGTCAACCAGACAGACAGTCAAAGGGACCGTCATTACTAAATCGATCCAAATTATCTTGAAACGGATGTTGTCTAACGAGACATAACATTTACCCCTTTCTTAGATGAGGCACAATTAGGAAAAAAGTTAAATTCCGAAACGAACTTTTTATGCCTGTTACCATAGGACAGCCTTAATATAGTTAAGTGACTGCAAAATGTAAAAAATATAGATTAAAATATCAAAATCTGTAAAAATAGAATCTGTTTATAACCCCAAAAAAAGGAATTTTAGCCCTTTTTTTTCAAAAAAGTAAAACGGTAGATAAGTTGGGGCGGGCCGAACTTTTAATACCATCCACAATTTTGAAGAAACTTCAACATTTTCAAAAAAAATCCGTTTAAAATTAGACCCCTTATATGGGGAAATACGAAGACGAGTTCCATCATAAGTAATTTTTCGTCATAGGCTGTAGTACCCATTACGGATTTTAAATACTAGATTTGAAACAATTCTGGTAAATAATGTCGCTAGAATCATAAAAATACTGAGTATGGGGAGGTACAGTTATCTGGGGCCTATACGAACACGTGAATCTGCATAGACAATTTTTTGTCATACATTGTAGAACCCATTTCGAACTTCATCTACGAAATTTTAAACAATTCCGGCTAATAATGTCGTTAAAATCATCAAAATACCGATTATGGGGAAGTATTATTCGATCTGTACACGGTTTTTGTTATATGCTGTAATACCTATTACGAACTTTAAAGTAAAAGTTAATATATGGCGGAGGGTATAAATTATAACTAGGACCTTCAAAAATCTATAGTTAAAGTCTGGTGTAAGAAGGAGCTAGTCCAAAACCAGGGTCAACGTTGTGTTTTTAAGCGAGAACGAAAAAAAAAACTCTTAAAATTTAATCGATATAGATGGCTTGGATCACACCGATAATTTAATGCCAACGATGGCCTAACTTATTCATTGTAGAAATTAATATCAAATGGGAAGCTCTAGTGGGAAAAATACATGATATATACTTTTTGTGAAGAGGGATCCAAAATGTCGATTAACTTCATATTCGTTTAATTAGTGGGGTCACCAACGAATATGTATGTCACAACCACTTAAAACTTCTTTTTTTAGAACAAACTTGTATCCCTAGCCTCTTCCCTCAACTATTTTCATTCTATGAAATCTTTTTTGCTATTTTAGTTATTTTATTTCCTGTGGCCATCCAACCCATTCATAATGCAAAACATAGTTCATACATAAGCCCACAAATAAAGTCATAATTTCATTTTCATTCCCAAACTAACCTATATATTTTTCCCTCCTCAAAAGATAAATTCAAAATTAGATTATAATTCCGAAAATTGTATTCATATGACTTAATTGAATTAATTTAATCATATTTTAGTTGAATTTGAAAATATTCTCCAACTTGGAGTCACACAATGCAAATGAAGTGCCAACAATCTCTATATTGTCACACATTTTGCATTAGGACAAATTGAATATGCAAATGTAACATTTCGAAATCCATTTTTCGAAACTGGGCATGTGGTCGGTCATATTGTGAACACATTTGTGTCATATGCCTAAAAGCCACAATACAAATACATGCATGGAATCCCACACACCCACGCACACATACATGCTTTAATGTATAGGAATTTGTAGTTTTTTGTTTTGGCATAAATGCAAAATATCCATGAATGTGAAAAACAGATAGGACAACAGATCTCTTTCACACTCGCACTCTCCCTCTCGCTCTCAAGCTCTATGTCTCTCCTCTTAAGTACAGTTTTGATAGAGGTTTTGCCGTTGTGGTTTTCCTGAAATTTGCAATAGAACAAAATATGACCACATCCAGCAGCAGCAGTAGTAGTTGTAGTACAAATGACATGAACTCAAAAATTTCAAAAAAAAAAAAAAACATTTTTTGCGACTTTGGAAAACAGATACACATGAATGAATGCATGCATGGGGATGGCCATTTAATGACTTGGAAGTATTGCATCTAGTGGTTGAACATTTTCTTCTACTTTAATTTTTGGATGCTGAACATCGTGAACTGGCCTATTGTCGTTATCGAGTTGGATGCAATTTGGAGCAACAACAATACATTGATTTCCCTGGAGTTAAATGTATGAGACTCTAACACAAATGAAGTTCATGCTTTAGGAGAGAGAGAGAAAGAGGAGAGAGAGAAAATTGCATAGTAGTATAAGTTAGAGATAAAGGGGAGCCATTAGAATAGTTTTTTATGCTGTTAATGTTTAAGGCGAAGGACATGTTTGGATATTTGAAATGTCTGTGTTCTT